ATGATTATTTTTTAAGCTTTTTAGATTTGGAGATTTAAAGCCATTGATTATCATATCTAAATCGGTCAAAGGGAGAAACACCGTTGATGGTTTCTCTCCCTCTAACTTCTTTTAGTGACATAATTTTCTTTTTTAGACAAAAGTCTATCTCATATTGACAACTAGTTTTTGAAACTAAGATTCTTTTTATCTTGCTACAATCATCTATCTTGTGCATAATATCCAAAGTTCTTATATATCTTTCAAGTTAATTAAAATCTTGTCATTGCATTTATCACATGATTATGATTTTGTTTTGTGGCTTATTCTTCCCTATGTCAGAGAGAGGGCTCCTATTCTCTAATATTTGGAGGATATACTCACAATTAAGGTTCTTTTTAAGTGTTTTTGTTAAAGAGAATTTAGCTTGAAAGAATTAAGAGGGAAAGTGGAAAAGATGCAAATTTGAAATGAAAAATATATATACACAAATGTGTATCAAAAATCAAGATGCTCAAAGAGCCAAATCAAAGATAAAAGAGGCATAAAATGAGCCCACTAAATACAAGCTATTATCTCTTTTCTGAACTCTTAAAACCTTAGAGAACTCATTGGTTATTTGATGCTTTCAAAGGCTTGATTTCAAATTCTATGATTGAGACAAATTACTTTGTTATATTATTTATAAGATATTTTATTTGTAATCAAGTTTTGATTGGATCTTCTTTTTACCCAGTAAAGTTTTTCTAAGTTAGACCTTTTGTTTTAAAAAAAAAGATGATTATTTCCTTAAAAGAAGTCCGAGCTAGGGATTAACAGATCGGATATTTTACCTTTTTCAGATTTTGACTTGTTAACTCTTTTATATTTTGAATCTCTAAAATTTAATTGTTTGAGAAATTTGTCATATGGATACTTTGCTAAAACAAAACAAAAAAATTAAAACCAAAACAACAAGAAATTTTTTCCTTTCCTTCATTTTTCTTTTTAGTTTTTTAGCCTTTTTATTGTTGTTTCTAGCTTTGTATTGTGATTCATGTATTTTTGAGCGCTTTGATCATCAACAGCATTTCCTTGGATTCAAATTTCTTGTCACATCATCCTGGCCGATTCTTATATCATCCTAGACAATAGGACAAATTCTCTTAAAAATTCCATCTGATGAACTTTTCTATGCTTGCTGTAACTTTTCATCCTCGACGATCTGATCGAACTCTGTTACAAACATGTTAATAGTCTTGGCTGATAACATATTTCATCCTGGCCGATGCATTTTATGGTCATCATCATGGCTGATACACTAGATCGTCCTGGACGTTCCACATGTCAGCACGTTTAAATCCTTAAAATTGGCCCCGAACGATTCATTATTGGACAATCGTCCTGGCCGATCCACTGTTCGTCCTGGACGATACACATGGCATAGATTTAAAATATTTTAACTTTGGCCGGTATGATCAATTATTGTGCATTATTTTGGACGATACACCTAATCGTCCTGGACGATCTATTTTTTCAACAGTCGTTCGGCTTGACTCCTCGGAACGATCGCCTGTGTCTAATCATCCTGGCCGATATCTAATCAGCCCGGCCGATCGGACCACCTTTTTGACCTATCGGCCTGTACGCAATAATTGAACCAAATCGTCCTGGACGATTCTACGATCATCCTGGATGATATGGTCATTTCTTTAAATTTATGCCATTCCAGCCATTGTTTTCACCTCAATCTTTTTCTCTTGTGTTTTCTTACTGATTTCTTGCTATGGCTGGTGGGAAGCGAGTCCGACAAGCTTCTAGAAGTTCCTCGAGGGCCACTCTAGACCCTCAATTCAGGGAAGTGGAGGATCAAGCAGCTTACTGTCGCAACAAAGAATGTGGCATCACCCTTTCCAGAATAATCAATCCTGTCCACCTTTCATATATGGTAATGGATCTCTTTGCTCACACTTCTCTCTATTTCATTCTTACCCACGCTGTTTATTTTTTCTTCAGAACTTCTGTTAGAATTTTATGCAAATCTTCGCATAAATTCTACTTTCACAGCCCTGACCTCCTATGTGAATCGATGCCCGGTCGAGATCATATATCAGGACTGTGCTGAACTTTTACAGCTATCCACCATCGAGGATAAGCTGCACATAATCGTTTCAGATCCTAATTTTGACTGGTCCACGGCAAACCATTTTCTTCGCCAAACTAACACACCCTTTCATGTTGGAGAGACTACCTCTTTAGTCAAAGATGCTAGGACAATTCAGCACGTCCTTCGCACCTCCATTATTCCAAAAGCTGGGGACCGAATTCACATCACTCCTCTGCTTTCTCTGACTACCTTTTTCATCATGTCCTGGAGAAAATTTAATGCCACTAATCTAATCTTTTGATACATTGATCATTTAACAACTATTCACGATCCAGGCCATAGGAGGAAACCCAACCTTACTTCAGGACATCTCATAGCCTACATTCTTGAAACCAAATACAATCTTCAATATCCTACTCGTCATGACCTTCAGCCTCCTTGCTACTCAAACAGCTCTTTCAATATCCTTCACAGTACTCGTCTCCACCCAGGGGATGGGGAACCTCAGGGGGCCGAGGAGGATGAGGCTCCTGCTCCTGTTCCTGATCCTGTCCCTCTTCACCAGCACTCACAGTTTGACCAGTTAGTGGAGAGGTTTGATCGATGGGAGACCCGCTTCAACGCTTACGTTGCTGCACAGGAGTAGCAACATTTTGAGGACATGGCCCGCTACGAGCAGCACCGCACATAGGACTTGGCCCATTTTGATAGCTACATTACTCACCAGCAGTAGCAGCATGACCAGGACATCGCCTGGTTCAATGCTCAGTTTACTACGCTAGCTGGCTACTTTCAGCAGCCACCTCCACCACCTCCATCTGATGATCAGGATCCCTCATTTTTCTAGTTTTGTTTTTCTGTTTTCTATTTTTTGTAGTTTGTCTTGTAGTTTGTTTTAGTTTCTGTTGTGTTTTTTTTTTTTCTTTTTCCTTATATGTGTCTAGGACCCTCTTTTTGTGATGACAAAAGGGGGAGTAGGATATGGTAGGAAGAGTTGATGCTTGTAACTTTAAAATTTTAATGAACTGCTATTTTTACTGAGATTTTTTTACTTGTGTTTGCCATCATCAAAAAGAGAGAGATTGTTACTAATCTATTTTTGGATTATGATTTTGATGATAGCAAACAAATCTTGCCTTTTTCTCTATTGACTTTTCATGACCCAAAGATCGGACGAAAATCAGAATCAGCTTAAGATGGGGTAGATTAGGGTTGAGTCAGTCTGTAATTTTATTTTTTCCCTCTTGAGTCAATTGTAATCTTTGGTGTGACTAATGCAAAGTAACCCTACACACACACACTTAAGAGACTTAAAATTTCTATTTTTACTCAAATCATCCAGGACGATATTTATATCATCCTGGACGATCGGGCTTAAAACAGAAATTCTAATCAGGGGTCTTAATTAAGGCAGCTGTCATAAGTCAATCGATCTGGACGATACGTGTATCGGCCTAGATGATAGGATCAAAATAGAAAGAAATTGCTGCCATAAACAATTAAGGTATTCTATATTTTTTGGTAATCGGCCAGGACGATCTTGGATCGGCCTGGACAATATTCACAATTATGCCTTAATTGATCAGACAATCAAGAAGTAAGGATTATTGATACGATCATATCATCCTGGACGATTGCAGGATCAGTCAGGATGATCTATTCAAAAACCTTAGTTAGTTCTGGATGATAAATATCGGCCAGCACAAATTCAGGGCGATATGCTGGACGATCGGTATCAGACAACTTGAATTCAGGGCGATGCTCTAGACGATTTTCCTCTGATTTGAACTGATCGACCTGGACGATCGTGAGATCGGCCTGGACGATCGTGAGATCGGCCTGGACGATCGTGAGATCGGCCTGGACGATCGTGAGATCGTCCTGGACGATCAAGCTAATTTTCAATCGTCTAGCTTGCTTTCAGGACGATGCTCTGGCCAATCTCAAGAAATTTATACTGTTCGGCCAGCACTATTTCCATATCGTCCTGGATGATATAGTCGGCAACTTGCAATTAATGAGCTCCTTTGAAGCTTTTCTATTTAAGAGCTATTGTTCAATGTTTTTTAACATCCTTGACTGCTGTCTTAACCTGAGAAAACCTAAAGGAGAGAGAGAGAGAGAGAGAGAGAGAGAGAGAGAGAGAGAGGATCTTGTGAGGGGGAGCTTCTGAGGGGATTCACAAGGGTTGCTCCAAGCATTGTTCCACTTCTTCTTCCCTAGAGTCTCTTATCCTTGGAAGGGTTGGGAGAGGTAAGTATCAGCAAGCAATCGATGTTCTCTGCCTGCTTCAGGAGGAAGCAAAAGGAGGAAGGTTCTCAACCTTACCGGGTGTGGAAAAAAGAGGTATTTGTAAAGGCTTCTCCGCCTAGCTGTGGGGGTTAAAGGAGAGTCACGAATGCAGTGCAATACTCGGAGGGCGCCTCTAGGGAGCTGACGTAGGTCGAGTTGACTGAACCACTATAAACCCTTGTATTCTTATTTTTACTGCTTCGGCATTTATTTCTTCCACACGTTTTTTCTTTGTGGTGATTTGGTTTGTATTTGTGCTTTGCTTAAAGATTTTTTAAATACCAATTCACCCCCCTCTTGGTTAGCCTTGGGCCAGTTCTATAGGGCTTAACATCCCTAACAAACTTTCAAGTGGTATCAGAGCAGTTTCTAGTGTCATCTGAGCACTTTCATAGTCAAACAAGACTTCTTTTTTATTGTTGATAAAACCTTGAAGATGACTAATATTTGGGGAAGTAAGATGATATCCTTGGCAGGAAAATTTCTTTTATCCAAAACGATTTTGCTTTCCTTCACCAATTTTCATTGTACTAACTCTCTTGTGCCAAAGAGTATTCTTGATGAGGTGGATAAGATTTGTAGGAACTTTATTTGGAACAAAGCTAATGTTGGATATGGATTAAATTATGTTAGTTGGTTAACTATGTGTTTACCAACCAAATGGGGAGGACGAGCTCTTCACTCTTGTTCTACTAAAGTTGGCCCCTTGAGATCCAAATTGGCTTGGAAATATATGTATGATAAAGATTCCTTTCTTCATAAAGTCTTCTTTCCAAAATATGGAAATCTTCTTGATAAGGTAGATTTGGAAAACTCTGGTTCTAATTCTTGGAAAATCTTGAAGATAGGTGGAAAGTCATTAAGGTCATTTATTAGATGGAGGGTGGCAAATGGTAATGACATTGATGTTTTCAAAGATACATGGATCTTAGACAAATGTATTAACAAGTGGCCAACATTTATTACTCCTATAGATGATCGAATATTTTTGGTTTCCAACCTCATAGAGAATGGAAGCAGGAACGTGGAGCAAATGAGAAGGATTATGGGTGAAGATCTTGTAAATCTTATTTTACAAACCATTAACTCGGGTGATCAGGGAGGAGATAAAATGAAACTCTTGCTACAGGTCAATGGAAGATCCTTATCATCTATGGTTTTTGAAAATTCGGTAAACCATACTCTTTCTGATCATTTCTGGAGCTGGATCAAAAAAGCTAAACTCAATCCAAAGGTGGAGACTTTTTGGTGGAGGATTTATAATAATGGCTTGCCTACCAATGAATTCCTTGAACATAGAAGATTGCAAAGGATCAATCTTTGCCCAAGAAACTGTAATGTTGCTGAAAACAAAGACCATTTGACAGCAAATTTCCATAAGCTGAAGGAAGTTCTTTCACAAATCAAGGAATGGGGATTTACTTTCAAGGAATTTGATTCCTTATATGATTGCTGTAAGCACCTTTCTCTTCTAATTCCCTTTATGATTAATCTTTATTGTACAGTGGTATATAGGACATGGAAGTCAAGGAATAATCTAATTCATAATGGAAAGGATGATAGCTCATTGTATATTGCTTCCAATGCAATAATCTATGCTTCAAATTCTATCTAAGGGATTAGTAATTACTTGGGTACATGGCATGTCAACCAACCATCACGGTTGTCTTTTTCTCATTGGCATCCCCCTCCACCCGATTCGCTCAAAGTAAATGTAGTTGCTTCTCCTCTTTCCAATTATAAAGCCGGCATTGGAGGAGTTTTCCATGATCACAAAGGAAGATTCCTTCTAGCATTTGGGGAACCGTATATCCATTGGGATATTTATTCCTTGGAACTTTTGGCTACTCAATCCATTAAGGAAGTGTTGAAAGATTGGATGTTTAAATATAAAGGTATTATCATAGAAGGTGACAATCATAATGTCATGGAATTCTTGAAGAAGGCCAAACATAAAGGAAACACAAGGTATGAAGATACTTATCTTTTTGGTGAGTTCAACAACGTTATTTTCAATTGTGTTCATAGAAGTTGTAACAAATTGGCAGATTTAAGTGCAAACTTTGGTATTATGAGCCATTTTATTTGGGATGACATTACTATTAATAAGATTCCTCCTTTATTCATGTCTTTGTTAAAGGAGGAATCAACTATTTTTGGCTCAGTAGGATTGTAATAATTTCTTTGCTCTTTTTCTTTTTGATGCTATTTAATGCATTTTCCTCAAAAAAAAAAGAATAATATTATTAACTCTTGGGAATTTAATTTCCTTAGCTTTGGCGGTAGATTGGTGTTGAACAAGAGTGTACTCTGCTCCTTACCTATTTATATCTTCCAGAATTCTCAGCTTGCTACTGTTGTTGGTAATAGACTTGAAAAATGATCAATATATTTTTTTGGAAAGATAAAAGTGATAATTCCAAAATCATATGGACTTCTTAGAACAATTATGGTGTTTTGGAAGAAGGTGCTTTGGGGTGCAAGAAGGCAGTAGATTTAACCCACACATTTTCCTTTAAATTATGGTTTAATTTTCTTTCTTAAACTAGTCTTTGGTCCAAGTTTATGACTTTGAAATACTGTGTTGGCAAACATCCTACCATTTGTACTTATAACAAGGGGGATTCTATGGTTTGGAAAATACTTTGTAATTCAAATGGGAAGCTAAGCCTTATATTTTTCTTTTTTTGAAGATTGTAAATTGCATTATAATAAATACTATTACAAACTACTAGGAATATTGTATATTCCTTCTTTAACAAGTAAAACAAAGAAGAAGGAATGCTATCAAAAACAAAGCTACTTCATAAAGATAAAGTGACACAATTATCTACCACTTCATTAGAATTTTTAGAAGTACAGTGAAAAATAACATTATTGAAATCATTTAAGAAAAAAACTCCTTATTCAAAAATCGATCTTGCTGCAATTTTGCCTTCTTCATTGAATCTCGAAGTCACTTGATAAAATTGGAGTTATCCCCTTCAATAATTACCCCCTTGTATTGAAACATCCAACTTTAGATATGCTCTCTAACCAAGAGAACCGCATCTAACTCTAGATGAGCAGCATCCAAATGTTTCACATGCTACCCAAATGCCCAAAGAAACCATCCCTTATGATCTTGGATAACAACACCAATTCCCGTATTATATAATTTCATAAGAGATGCATCCACATTGATTTTGATCCAATCTAGCGATGGGGAATTCCAATTCCAAACATCAATGGACTCCAAAAGGAGATTAGCAACCCAGTCTTCTAGCATCAAATATTTAGCTGGCTATATTAATGCTGCAAAAACATTTGATGCAATAAAATTTGTAGAAGTTGAATCCAACCTAAGCTTTATTTGATTCTAACTTTTCAAAGAATAAAAAAATAGCTATACATTATCATTTCACTATGATCAAATTAAAATTAGAAATCCTTTTAAGCTCATATAAACATCCAATAAAATATTTAAAAATAGGAACTTGCAAACCCCATTCACAAAGCTTGTTAAGAATCTCAACTAAGAATTTACACTTAACAATAATATACAATTGGTTTTCCACCTAATGACATCCACTAGCATAATAATTTGATTTTAATAGATTTCTATAGTTAAGAAAAGAATTAGTAGGAAGAGCATCTTTACATAGTCTCCGCAAAAACATTTCAACCTTAGGAATAAGCTTAAATTTCCCAATCAAGCTAATAATTTTGGAAAATTTTGATATTCTCCATATTTTGTTGAGGCTTCAAATGATAAGGTTGTGACAGATCTCCCCTATTGTTGATTAATTAGCTCAATACAATCTTCCCCCATATAAGGAAATACGAGAACCTGCATAATAATAAAAGCAAGTTCTTCATCAAAAAATTTCTGGAGCTCATAACGATTCCAACTTCCACCATCTGAAATAAACTTCTGAACTGATGCAAATTGTAAATCAGAATAGGTAACAAATTTTGGCTACTTATTAAGAGACTTATCAAAGATTAAAACATCATTCAAGATGCTCACTTTGTTTCCATTTTCCAATTTCCATATAATGTTCTTTAAGTGCTTTGTTCCCTCCACCAAAATCTGCCAAGATGAGGAATTTACCCTTTTAATATTAGCATTCCAAATATTACTACCATATTTCAAAATGTTAATTCGATTAAATAAAGATAAAGGCTAAAAAAATTTCCAAGTAATTCTATATCTCAATGGGTCCACTTTATCAACCAAAGAATGAAGACCCAATCCTCCAAGAATTTCGAGTTTGTATAGCTATGTCCAAGACACATAATGTAAACCTTTCCTTCCTTTTTCTTTGGGCCATAAAAACTCTTTACATATATTGTCCAACTCATTTAGTAAACCCTTAGGTACTAACAAATGATTTGACAAAAAAATAAGAAGTAAAAGAAAGTACTTTTAATAAGGAGAGTTCTATCTATTAATGAAAGACATCTGTTACCCCATTCATTTAACCTTTCCAAATCATGATCTAAAATGTTTTGGAAATCAAAACTTATTAACGTCCTCATAGCCATTTTCACACCCAAATAATGTATTACTTTAACAATAATAAAACCCAACATCTTAGCAATCTTCTTCTTTCTCCTTCAATTCATAGATTTCCAAAATAAAATTTGAGATTTCATTTTGTTCACCTTCTGGCCTATCCAGGCGCAAAATTCATCCATGATTTTCTTCATAATACAAGCTGATTTAGTGGATGCAATCAAAAACAATAACACATCATCTGCACATAGAAAGTGTGAAATCTTTTCATATTTTGGAGCTAGCTTTATACCCAATTCAAAAGCCTTATATTATTTGGTGTATTGACTGTGCTAATATTTTATTTATGCAGGATCATTGGCTGGGTCAAACTTCTATTGATCTTATGCTTCATTCAAACTCCATTTATGCTACCAAGGTTAACAATTTTATTGAGAATAATTGTCGGGATTATCTGAAACTTGCTCAAGTTATTCGTGAATCCATCATTACTCATATCTTCGAAATTCCTTTAAATACTTAAGCTGATGATTTTTTGGTGTGAAATATGACTAGCAACGGTGTCTTCAAAATTAAGGATGCTAGGAATACTTTTATAACTAAATATACTACTTCTAAAGTCTTTATCATGGTATGGCATAAAAACATTCCTACTACTATTACTTCATGGATCATAAGAGTACTAATTAGTTTTGGTGTCATATTATTTTATTCTATAGTCAATTTTTGGTCTTTTCTATAATTTTTTTTACTTCCTATCAAATTTTTTTCTTTGTGATGTTAAAGAGGAAGAAATGGGTAATTGTACTATTTGGTTGTATTGTCTGCCTTTTATTAGTACATTACTCATTTTGCTATTTTGGTTGATTTTGTTTTTCCATTATTAATAGTCATCTTAAATTATATATATATATATATATACTCTCCTATCAATAATTAAGAATGTACATTCTATGGGGAAGACCTATGCAGGAAAATAAAATACTAACTTGAAAGAACCAACAATGCTTGTCATTATCAAAAAAGTGAGAGATTGTTAAAATCCGTGGGCTCGATCTATTATTTTGATGATTCCAAATATTATTGGTTAGACCACTTATCAGTTTTTTGCATTACATATATTATTGTGCATGACTATAACCACATTAGAATAAAACATAGAATAGTCATGACTACATAAATTTTAAAAACCAAAAAACTACAAAATACCTATACAAACTAAAAAAAATCAAAACCTATAACCTCAGCTACTCAACTGACTCCTCACCCTTTCTCTGACTTGAAATATAATGCAAAATAGGTGTGAGCCAACATAGCTCAACAAGTCATGCCCACTGATCAAAATTTTTAATATTCTAACTAGTGTGTATTTATTTATGCAAAAGAAATTAACAAAAATCTATTATACTGATTGGAGTAACGCTAGAAAATAATGGAAATTAAATAGACTTAACACTAAAGGTAAATAAGCAAGTATTTCATATATTAAATATCAGAAAGTATTGAGTTCCCTTAGGCCATTATGCCTCTTGTTGAAATTAAAATAAGAATTTAGGCCCTTAAGA